GTCCCTTCCGACCCTAGAAACTATGAAACTATAATTTGGGGGACAGAGGTAGGTTTTTTTGCTAAATTTGATTTAAAAAAAAAAATCAAGTAATTTGAAGGTTGAAGAGTTATAATTCCTATTCTTAATTTTACATTTTTGGGAGGGGAATCAGTTGATTTTTCTAAAATCTACAAAATATTAAAGTGTAATTTTTGCTCAAATACATTTATACACATCACATGCACCTTCAGTGCATGTTACAACAAGGTTCTTCATTCAGAGTGTAACTTAATTCTTAACAGTATTATTAACCTACCACACAGCAAGCATGGAGGAGAGGGTCTCTGACAGATCTGGAATGGGGTAGCAGAGAAGGTGGAAATGGTATTTTGATGCAAGGCAATTAATTCCCAGTGCTCAGGGTTTTATATTGGCAAAATAGCTGACAGATAGCTTGGCTTAACTGACTGGTAGTTCAAGACATAAAATAGCCCCAGTGGGAAGGTATCAGACCATATGGAAAGCACCAACCACTCCTTCCATCCATAATTTTGCAATGTTAATTTGTTTAGCAGTGGAGATGAGGTGCTATAAATAGAATTTTTGAACATACATGGTCTCGTGAGTTTCCTGGATTAATCTTGGCTAAAAAGATCCTTACTCTTTAATCCTGAAGTCAACAAAAATAAAGAATCTGTTATTAATCATCAGTGCCTGGCTTGGAAAGACACAAGGCCAAACCTTTGGATACAAAATTTTATGTACCTATGAGCTTTCAAGCTTTGCCTGGGGCCAGAAACAGAGTACTAAGAGGGTCAAGCAAGTGTCACCATTCTAAATAAATAAACAAAATAAATATACAGAAAAAGCAGCTAAAATTGTTCATCTGAACTGAATATCTTAGCCTCCAAACAACTTAGGATGGATTAATGCAGAGAAACATTGTGATTATTATACTGGATAGCTCAAAACAGATTACCATATTTACGTGAATGTAAGACAACCCTGATTATATGATCCTCCAATAATTAGACTATACTGTATATGGAAAATTTATACATTTGTTATAATTTTCCAGGTACAGAATCTAATTATTGGATGTTTGCCTTGAATTTGTCCCCCTCCCACAGCTATAGCTGGGGAAATAAATCTGGCCTCTTTGACCTCTGCCCTCCCCGCCCCCCACAACTCCATCCTCCTGCAGCCCCTTCCCACTCCCTTTGCTGTCTCACCTTGCTCTCCCTGAACACATGGAAGTGAGGGGGTCTCCATGGAAACTGGCCACAGCAACACACGAAGGGGCTGCTGGGAAACAGAGTCCAGCTGCCGGCCTGATCCACCATTTTGCCCACTCATGAGCTAGACTGTTCTCAGTGGTGGCAGATGACAGAACAAGGACCA